CGTACGCCTTTGGATATACTTGATATAGCCAGACCTGTGCTTACATTGATTGAGGCCCTAAGCGATTTTCTGAGACAAAATTATGCAAATTTCCCAAAAGGAATGATTTGATGCAAATTTCCGCGACGAAGTGGTGCAGGCTACACTCTCGATGGAAATTCCGCCATGTTTTCCTCAAGCAACTTTCCGATGATATACTAACGGATCCTTGAAAAAAGAAGAAAGCTCACATGTGGAGTAGGTTGGGTACTTGATCTCCAAGATGGTTATATGGACATCATAGGATTCCATGGAGATAAACAGACTATATCCCTCCTGCATTCAAAAATTTTGAGTCTCCTATGGGCAATGTTGAGCCTGAAACGGAAACATAGATTTTGTACTATGTTCGTCACACATTCGAAGGAACTCATTATGATATCGCAAACCCGGAGGAATGGCCAAGTTTCAAACGGAGTTGAAAGAGCTAGCAGAACTACGAAAATCGTTTCCGTAGTTTGAGGTGATCCATCAACCGCAAGTGAAGAATGTGAAAGCTGATATGCTAGCACATAATGAACAGGAATGCAACAAGATTTTTTCTTTTATTGGCACTTCTGTTTCATTTTGGGTTCGTAGATGCAAATCATGTATTGACCTAACGAAATGAAGAAGTGTGACGTGACAAAACAAAAAAAAAATTGGCAAAATAAACATTTTTGTAGTAAAGCATTTAGGGTTTATAAATCTATAAACATATGATAAGAAAAAAAAGGAAAAATCAACGGAATACCAGCGAATATTAATCTGGTTTGGGATTGATTTTCGTTATGGGAAAGATGAACATTGTAAATCAATTTTGGTTCATAGTCCGGTTTATGTTGGTTTAGTTTACTTGTATATATTACAATTTTGGTTCATTGTACATTTGAGAAGTCACTGAATAGAAAACAATTTTGATATTTTCGGTTGACTTCCTAAAAGTAATAGCGGTTTCGGCCTCCTTTCTTATAAGAATTTTTTTTTTTGGTCACAAAGATTTTTTTCATAGATTAGTTACTCTCCAACAAAAGAGTAAATGTTTACAACCAATGAAAACAAAGCCATCAACGCTAACAAGAGCAATGCTACAAAGGCAAAACATAAAGCGTTAAAAATAAAGATAGATGCGTGCCAAACGTTTAGCCAACTAAGCCATTGTTGTTAAGGAGAAAGACGATGCTCTGGGAATCAAAGAGCATATATAGTGATTTAATGCCCGAAATTGAAACTGCAACTAAGACAGTATAAACAATCGAGATGTAGGCTCCAAATGCAGGGGGAGACTGACTTGCTGCGCCGTTAAACAAGGTGATAACCGAAGCAAATGTAAGTTTCGACACAAAGTTACCTATAATGAGACCACTAACCAAAAATGGAGACATCAGGAGGAAGACATGTTCTATATCAGAGCAGTCAAAGCGATAAATGCCCAAATAAACGTATTCTTGTAAGAAACTTTTAAACCACCAAATAGCCAAGTCGAGATAAGATTTTCAACTAACCGGAATTGGATCACCATCTTAACAGTTTTACCAAACCGATTAATTACTCTTAAATTTCCAGCAATACATTGATTTTTATTTTCTTTCTTTGCAACCAATTGACAAAATACTATCTTATCACCAAATACTATTTTATGTTGGGAAATTGGGCTCAATAACTATAAAAAAAAATTATAACTTACTAAATAACCAATTTCCCTAAATCGAATGGTCACAATATTGCCACACATACCGTTTTTGTTAGATTTTGAATTATATTTTTTTTTGTTTTTTGGTTATTCACCAAATTGACCCTTTTGTGTTTACCAAAACAAAAAAAAAAAAACTATTTTATCATCAAGTATCTCTTCCTCTATCTTTGTAATAATTTCCAAATGTCATCTTACGTGCTTACATACATATCACAAAATTATACTTCATGTAACTATGGAGATGGAAAGAAAATCATAGAGCTGTGTCGTTGGCCATAGACGAGACTGATCGAGTTAATGTTACCCAGAAAACAATTCGAGAAGTCCACGAGCGATTGATTGGAGTTGGGACTGATATTGAATATCTGAACTGCATAAGCTTTGAAACGAAAAAATGCATTGATTTGATGCTCAAATTGATGAAACCATCTCTACACCTGCTTCTTATTGTTTGCCAAATTTCCACTGCATGTAATATATAATCGAATTAGCTTAAGAAGATGATTCAATCCTTTTTATATTAATTATATTTGATTAATAAACGTAGAATATTTGATATGTGAGTATTCAAGATCTAGCACAAACGTATTCATTGGTAGAGATAAAATGTTAGAGAATTTAAATAAACCTGTGGCTAGATTGAATCTTTTGTGATACTCATTATAAGATGTGAGCGATTTCAGCATCTTATCTTTGTTGTGGAGGGCAAAGAAAGCTCCAGGAAAATTACTTCCAACATGTTGTTTATAAGGCGAAACCTCGATCGAGATCTCGGCTATGATAAACAAAGATAAATTATCACTAAAGATGTTATAAAATAACTAACACAAAACGGTGACTATCAATTTAATTCAGGGACAAAACTTGTTTTTGAAGTCGTTTGATCCAAAAAATGTTTTCACACATAGGATGCAAATGGTTTTCATAGGTTGAAAAAGTAGAATGACGTTAGTGGAAAACTTAAGGAGTGGAAAAAAGAAGTTGAATAAAAAGTATTTTGTGTATATAAGAATTTTTAAATGTAATTCAATTGATAAGAAATAAGATGTAAGTAACTAACAAACAATTGAGGAAACTTAGGCTCACCCATATTCTTGAAGAAGCAATAAACGACTAGAATCAACATCGTAATCAACCCTCCTTTGCTTGATCTCGCATTCATTTTGTTACACATTTCTTCTGTTACTGTA